CCCCAAAACCCCAAAACCCCAAAACCCCACGAGATGTTATTTATACTGAATGGTATATAAAAATATTAATTTGTTGCATATTTTCATCTTTTTGATCTTCCGAACATTCTTGCTCTTCCATTATCTCCTCTTGCAGCGGGTTATTCAATACCTCTACTTCTACTTCTGCCTCTATTACCGTCTTATTCATAATTTCTTTATTCAGTTTCCCTTTCATTTCTAAATTCATTCTAATTTTAATTGAAACCTTGACCCTCATTATTGATTTCACCTTTTTCTTCTACCTGCTTTTCATCTTCTTAAAAGAGATTATTTGATTAATAGTTGTTATTTTGATATTCTTCTCTTGCTCTTCCTCTACCTCTTCCATTTCCTCTTCCTCTTTCCCCTCTATCGTATGCACCTCCTCTTTATCCTCTTTATCCTCTGCTATAAGGACGATCCTCATTGCCATTTTCATTGAATCTATCTTCGGATTATCTATATTAAGGTCTCTCATTCTGGTTATATCCTCCTCTGTTGTACATTCCTCCTCTATTTCCTCTATAACCTTTTTGCTCTTAATCATCTTCTCTCATTTATCCTCTTTGGCCTCTCCCGAAAAGTTTTGGCCTTTCCTAAACCTATATGAATCCGTCTTTATCTACTTTATTTCTAGCAGGTTCTTAGATTTCATATGACTTCGCTTCTTCTTCATTATTGAATAATTAATTATTCTAAACTTCAGGTTAATTATTCTAAACTTCAGGTTATTGTTCATTATTTCCTTAATTATCACTAAATCTTTCTTATTACATATCGTTTTCTTAATTAATACTTGATTATCTAGACCTTGGGCGATATCTATCAGATTCTTAACTTGCTCTTCCACCTCTTCCTCCTCTTGCTCGCCGTTCATACTAATTTTCATCGTTTCTTTGATTGCCTCCTTCTCTCTGATTTACATATCCACCTCTGCCCTAGCCTCTTCCTCTCATCTGATAGCTACCTTAGTTATCTTCTTAATCTTCATGATTATTTTAACCGTATACTGGATGAGTATTTTAATGCATATTTCTGTCATAATTGTTGGGATATTTGTTTCCTCTTCCTCTTCCATTTTCTCGGTTAAAATTGTTATCATTAAATTATCTATCGTTTTAATTATTGTTACTTCTATGTTGGTAATGATTATTATCTTAAAATCTAGGCTGTTGAGGATATTTTTATTCAATATTACGGCTAACTTAAAACAAACTTCTATAATAAGGATGAATCTGTCTTCTGACAAATATGTGAGAACCTTAAGTATTTAACTAATCCAAAAATAATCCATAACTACTAATTTAAACCCCAAATTCATCTGCTGTCAATGAGTCATCTTTGAAGTCAAGAATCATATGGCAAAGTATTTAACTCTAGTTTGTTTTATATTTCGTAATTTTAGCATTCTAAATCATTGGATATTTCTCTTAATTTGCCTTTTTAATATCATTTTCGGTGACTAGTTCAGAAAGTCCATCAATTATTACATAATTAGTCTCTAATGGATAACCATGTTAAACGAACACAAAGCTAAATCTTGCCTGCATTATCTCTCTAAACTCTTACCTAGCTGAAATCAAATGATCTCTAGGATTTTTAATAACAAATCTGCTTGTTCCATCAGTTACCAAGTTATCTTTTAAGCTAAGATAAGCTCTAGTAAAATAATATGGTTAACTTAGCTCTACAGTCAAGATTTATTCATCTAACATTGAGTCATGATCTTTGTTCATTTACATTTATTTTATGTCTGCTTGGAATGGCCTTTGATCAAAATATAGATAGTTAAAGTACTCCACATTGAGAGTATTTGGAATAAACCCAATTGAGAAGAGTTTTTTGTAAATTATTTCTCTGGGAGGCTTATTTTAATCAACCAATTTCTATAAACCATCGATAAGTTAAAAATTGTTGTTGTTCACTTTCCCTATTTACTAATGGCATTATGGGCATTAATCCATTTACAGATTTATCTTGCTGACACAATTTTAGCAGATAGATCTAGAGCAGCATGCAAGGCCTACTGGCATGTTGTTGTCTGGGCAGTAAGAAGCATAGCATTTAGGGCAGAGGAAAGGCGTAAAATCTTTATCATAGTCTTGGAGTAAATCCTTAATTGATTTCATTTCAAATATTGTTTATTAATTGAATTATAGATTTCCTACAAAATAGACGACATTTAAAATTTTAAAGAAGCTTTCGGGGTTTTGGGGTTTTGGGGTTTTGGGGTTTTGGGG